GGATGCCCCGCTTTGCCCCCAATCAGCACACGTCAGACCTGCCCACTCTTGCCTTCTGCTGGCAACTTCCAAATCGGGCTCCACCCTGGTTATCTCTCTAGGATGTCTTTGCTGAGCTGACTGGCCCCAGCAGGTTCTTCAAACTCAACACATGTAGGAAGGAACTCATCAGCTTTCCCCCTCTTCCAATCCCTTCCACTCCATTTTCCAGTGACCAGCAATGCCATCCACTCTCCCACTTCAATCAGAAACCTGGTAACCAGCCCAGGCAGTTGGGCAAACTTCAGTGAGCTTTGGGATCCTTTGGAGACTTCGGCAGACAGATTCCTGGGCCTACCCTGCGTGGTCTGATTGGTTGGGGCCGGGTAGGCTTGATCTCTATTTCTCAGGCTCCCAGGTGACGCCTTCACAAGCCACACTTTGAGTAGCACTGGACTAGACTCATGTCTGTTTCACTCTCTGGATCCCACTACTCACTATCATTGTTGATATTATTATTGCTGTCAATTTTAAAAGTAGTTCACATGTATTGAACGCTTAGGTGCCAAGCACTGTACTAGGCATGCAGTTAGCCTGCAAAGATGTATGAGAGCCAGGTGCTATAATAGGTACTTTCACGTGGTACAAAAGTATCCGCCCATGGCATTGACATTCTGGTAGAGGAAGAAAGAAATTTAAAATATAAATAAGGAAACTACAAAAGGAAAGTCATTCTAAATCCAGGAAGTTCTCACCAAGAAGGTGACATTGATGCCAAGTTTGAAAGATAATTGATTTCATGTAACCCCAGGTCTCAAGATGCCCCTTCCTTCATTTCTTTCAATGCTGCTGTTTCCCACCTCAGTCCTCGGGTTCAGGTCTCCACTCCTTCACTAGTCCCCTGGCTGGTTTCCTTGGCTGGAGATTTTCCTTCTCCCACCCACACTCAGCCTGCAGCCACCTAATTCCTCTAAATAAAGCAAATCATGCCATTACCCTGGCCTGATGTCACTGAAGGAGTCCCAGCACTATCAGGATGAGATGCAGATTCCTCAGCACGGTGGGGATTCAAGGCTCCTGGTGATGATTCTGCACCCCTCCCCCCCCCAGCTTCTCTGCCACCTGCAACTGCTTGGTCTGTATGTTCTTTGCCAAGAACAGTTAATCCTGGTATCCTCACAGGTAAGCAAGGTGGGGATCTTGACTTCATTTCCCCCAACAAGAGGTTGTCTGCGATGCCCCACACCCAGGCCATTGCCTCCTTGGCCGCAACTCCCAGGCCCTGCAATTGTTTGACTCGGGGTCTGGCAGTTGGGCAGATACTGAATGCTGGCTGCTATCTGACAGATCCAGCTTTATGGCTGTTTAGACTGGAAGGGGCCTTAGTGACCCATCAAATGATAAGGTTAGAATGATGAGATCAGTCAGCCCTGCCACACCTTGCTAAGCTCTTACCTGGACAGCCTCTGGCCTCCTTTTGTCGGCAGAGCTATATGGCCAAGGCTCATTTGCTGTGGTTCTCTGCCTCTCACTTAAGGAATAGCCAAAAGCATGTGTTCCTTTTTGGGGGATCTGAGCATGAGAGTATGTCAGGGGAGGAGGAAGATCAGGTTGGATAATCTAGTTCAATTTACTGCCTTCCAGTTTGCAGGCTCTGTCCAGCTGTGTTTAAACAGCATGGAGTCCACTGCCTCTAGAATGTCCCCTGGACGCAGCTGAGGGAAAGAGCAATGCCAGACACACAGCTGGTGACAGTGAGCAATTCACCGAGGCTGCCAGAGCCTCCCTTGTTCCCTGACCACCGGTGGGTGATCCCAAGGATCACTCAGAAAAGGAGAAGCTGCTATATAATCTGAAAAAATGGGAGACCCATCTGACCCATGATCAAAGGGACCAGTTTATCTTAGCCCAGCTCCTCCTCTAAACTCTGTTATCTTCCCTATTGCATTGACCTTAAGTTCAGATTCATGGATGGATTAGTGCAACAGATCTTCCCTGAACCTTAGTGAGGTGCTTGGTATTGGGGCAGGGAACACAGTGAGGAAAAGGCAGGGCTGTCCATTATCCTGTGGCCCTTGAGCTAGTCTCAGGGGAAGACAGAACGTCCAAGAAAAGGCAGCTTTCAGCAGGAAGGTCCCTGGCCATTTTTGTTTTTAACATAGACATGGAAAAGTCCCATGTGTGATGAGTAAGTGGACATACCCATGTAACTAATACCCAGCTCAAGAAACAACATGATCAGTCCCCTCCCCCACCCTGACTTCTAACCCCATAGATATGGTTTGCCTATTTTTGAACTTTAAAAAAACAGAACCATCCGGGGCTTCTTTCACTCAATACTGTGTGTGTGTGTGTGTGTGTGTGTGTGTGTGTGTGTGTGTGATTCATCCTGTTTGTTTGTGTGTTGTTTTTTGTTTTTTTAATATATATATATATTATTGATCTTCTACAGAGAGGAAGGGAGAGGGGTAGAGAGTTAGAAACATCGATGGGAGAGAAACATCGATCAGCTGCCTCCTGCACACCCCTCATCAGGGATGTACCTGCAACCAAGGTACGTGCCCTTGACCGGACCTTTCAGTCCCCAGGCCGATGCTCTGTCCACTGAGCCAAACCAGTTTTGGCTCATCCTGTTGTTGTTAGTAGCTGTCGCTGGTTCATTCTCAGTGCTGTGTGTCGAATCCCAATGTGATCACAAAGGATCTGCTTTTTGGAACTTTGTTTTGGTTTTGATAACTAACCATGTTTAAAAGCCATAGCCAGTATTACAAAAGCAAAAGATTGAGAGTAATATTTATGAATGCAAGCATTGTTTATTTATTTTTTGCTTTCTCTACATAATCGTATTTGCAATGCTAAAAGTAACTTCCAACTGTGGTTCTTTTGAGAAGCTGCAGGTGCACACAGATGATCTCCTAATTTACCTTCTCCAAGTATTCTTCGGAAGCAGTCAGACATGGCTTGATCATAGGAGAATTCAGGATCCAGTTTGCTAAGTAGACTTCTCCATGGATTCCCACAAACTGGAATGCTTTCACCAGGCAGAGGCCCACTGGGAGATCATTGGCATTCAAATGCTTGATGACTCCATTGGGGTCAGTTAGGAAGAGACCTCTTAGTGCAAGAACAGAACCTTCTAACAGCACACCTTAGTCTCAGGAAGTCTTTATAGTCAAATCTGACAGCAGTGTGATGTTCAGGTGGCCAGAACAGCCATTCTCCCTCAGTGTGGTGATCCAGGCTAGATGGCTCTAGTGGGGAATCTGCTGACCCTGCAACAATTTCACAGTTCTCAGCATGAAACTCATTGGCTTTGTCAGAAAAGCAATAATCTCTGTAGGGCCCACCAAGTGAAATCCAAAGGAGAGAAAAAGAGCATCAAATATTAGTATTTCTTCCTTGTGTCGTCCAGGCTTAGTTCTTTGAACTCTCCTTTGACAAAGCTGTACCCTTAAAACAGGGCGTGTGCTGGGTGACCACAGGAGCATGGGATGAGGAACTAGTGTTACAAAAAGCAAATTTTGCTCGACTGCAAGGAAACCATAATACATTTGTCAGGCACGTTCTTCTAGAAGCAGCAGGCCTACAGGCTGCCACGGCAGAGATGTCCCCAGGATTGTCCTCACAAGACTAGCCACTGAATTGAGCAACCTCCCTCATCTAGGGGAAGAGGAGAGAGGGGGAGGACCAAAGCCTCAGGGAGAATGAGATCGGGCCTGTGGGGGTGGGGCGGAAAGCTGGATCTGTTCCACGGAGGGCCTGGGGTTGCTTTCAGTTTTGGGTGCCCTATTAATGTTCCAGTCCATGTCTCTTAGTGAGTTTATGTGAGTTTTATTCAGTGTAGGCCTGGAGTGGAATGACTGGGTCATAGGTATGCATTTGTTCAGCTTTGATAGATACCAGCAGGAAGGATTTGAGCAAGTTGTTAGAATTTCCAGACCCTAAAGGCCCTGGTCAACCAGCTCCTGCCCCAGGGGAGGAGCTGTGAAATTTGCTTTGGAGAAGAGGTAGGAAGAAGCTGGATTAGGCAGCCTTTAGTGGTGGGGGTGGCCAGTCCTTGGCTCCTTCCTGTGGGTTTTGGTCCCCTCTTCTTAGTCTGGGGTTTCCAGACTACTCCTGAGAGCTGTCCCGGCTACTTGGGAGGGGAGGCGTAAGAGGCTTCACTTCCCTGCTTGGGCCACAGCACCCCGTTGACCTTCGTTTCACACAGCGGAGTTCTGAGAATGACTTCATGTGTTTTTGAGAGTTTTCCTGCGGTGTTTGAAAATGCACTGCTCTATGGTCCGCTCCAGTCGGAAAATTCTATTTTGGGAGCAGGAGGTGGGTGTGGAAAGGGTTAAGCATTATTCAGCCAAAGAGCCAATTGGCCTTTTAAAGTTCTTCTAGCTCGGTTTGCAAAGCGGAAGATCTCACTCATAACATTCTAAAAAAAAATGTGTTCAAACAAAGCAGCCTCCAAAGTCTAAAGCAGCGGTCGCCAGCCTTGCGGACCTCACGGACCACCCGTGGTCCGCAGACCACTGGTTGGCGACCACGGGCCTAAAGGATGCAGAGGCCAGGCTTCCCTCTGAGGAACATACAGGCAGCATTTCAGCGACAGTCTTGAGGACATTGTATTTCACCCACTCCTCTACATTTAAAAGCTTATTTTATAGTTTAGTTTAGTTTGATTTTATATCTCCATTGGCTGTTCCTAATAGTAGTCACTCAGGGTTGTTTGGGTCAGGACAGTTCCCAGTTTTGCCAAGGAGTGGTGACGTGGGCGGCCTGTGTATCCCTCTCTGGGGTGATGGCCTTCCCTCCTCCGGCAGCAGGCCTATTTGGACCTGTAGTTCCACTTGCTGAAGGAGGCCGGCCTGTTCATGGGCCCAGAGAGAAATATGCTCTGCCTTGGCATGTGGCTCTTAGTCAACCGTCTGATAAACAGCTCTTTCCCAGGGCTAGCAGGGAACAAAGCCTCTAGCTGCTCTGGGCTTTGTCTGCCCCACTCTTCCTGAAACAGCTGTTTATTCTTTTGACAGGAGTTGGACCACAGCACCTTCCCTTCCTCCCAGCCCTGCCTCCTGAACGGCGGAGCTCAACAGGACTTTGTTATTTTGCCTTTTACTCTGAGGGGAGAGAAGCAGAGGATGAGGTATGTGAAATGTTGGAATGATTTACTTCTGCCTTGTTGGAGTCACTGGGGGAACTGAGCAGGCAGCAGTGAGGATCTACTTGGGAGAGGACCCTCGCTCTCCCCTAACTTCTTGCTGGTACCCCTCCTCAGTAGTTCTAGAAAAAGCCAAAGTCCTTCTGCCCCCGGCATGGGATCTAGAGGTGGGAGCTAGTGGATGTTGGCTCAGGGACGTCTCTGTAAGTTTTCCTGGATTTGGCTTCCCCTGGAAGGACCTCTCGGGGCTGTGGCTGCAGCCTGGGGTTTTCAATGCAGAATGCAGAGTGACAGTGCAGGGGCCACGTAGGGGGATGTGGAGCCCTCTCCGTGTAATGGACTCTTTGTTTACTTTACCTTATTTCTCTTGGAAAAACCCTTGCACAATGTTGGTGTCATGCAGCAAGGCAAAGCTGGCTGGATCCAGGCTTCAGATTTCAGAAGGGACTCAAGAAAAGGTACGACAAGATGTATCTCAGAGATTGTGACGGCTGGAGTGACACTTAGCCTTGTATTTAGTCTGAGACTTGTCTGTTAGTTTCCTCCGTCTGTGTTTACCTTGACCCTCATAATGAAAAATGTAACTGGAAACAGCCTTCTATGCACTTTTTCCCCCAGGAATTATACCGTGTTTCTTCCAATGGGGAGCATTTCCCTATAATGCCCACCAATTTATATATTTATTTATGTACACATTTAATTATTTATTTTAGAGAGAAAGGAGACAGTGAGAGAGAGAGATTGACTTGTTCCAATTATTTATGCATTCATTGTTTGATTCCTCTATGTGCCCTGATGAGGATCGAACACAAAACCTTGGTGTATTGGGACAACACTTTAGCCAGTTGAGCTTCCCGGCCAGGGCCTACGCCCACCCATTTATAGAGAAGTTTTGGGGTAAAGCAGCACTCTCCCTCTTCTGCTCCAGCAACAGTCCCCTGTCAGGAGCTGGGCCTGGGAGTCATAGAGTCTGCTTTTCAAATTGGCATCTCCTTCTGGGTGAGCCTGCCATCTCAGCCTCCGCCAAAGCTCAGTTTCCTCAGTGAAAAAGCCATGACACTGACCATGAGGAGGGATGAACAGATGGAGTGAGTGAGTGAGGAAGACCTGCACCAGGCACATAGGAGATGCCTGGGAATGGCAGGGGAGTCAGTGCTCACTAGCAGGTCAAAGGGGAAGCCAGCCCCTCAGAGAGGCTAGCCCCTGATTGGCTAGCTTTGGGCCAATCACTATGTGATAATCCTGAGAGGCAAAAAGAGAGAATGCCCCAAAGAGACTTGAGTGATTAGTCCATTGTAAGCCCCCAGGTTTTCTGAGAACAGAGTGGTGAAAATGGTGGGCACTGGAGGCTAATGCCCTGGATCTACCTGAGCCCCGGCTCTACCACTTTATGCTGTGTGACATTGTGCAAGTTACTTAACCTCTCTGAGCCTCTATTTTCATATATTTAAAATGGGGATAATTCTAGAGTAACTTCACAGGGTTGCTGTGAGGCTTACCTTGAGAAACTGCTGACAAAGGGTTAGCCCAGAGCCTGGCCTGGTTTAGTCTGAGAGCATCCAAGTGTTGTTAGGGCCTGAAGCTTATTCAGTTTTCAGGATTTTCTTTAGAAAAAGAATGAAAAATTACAAATACAGTATTAGTAATGGAAATGGATATAATTGACCCTTGAACAACAAGGTTTTGAATTGTGTAGGTCCACTAATACATGGATTTTTTTCCCAATAAATACTGTAAACATATTTTCTTAACATTTTCTTTTCTCTACTTATTGTAAGAATACAGTATATAATACATATAACATACAAATACATGTTAGCTGTTTATGTAAGGCTTCCATCAATAGTAGGCTGTGAGTAGTTAAGTTTTGGGGGAGTCAAAAGTTATATACAGATTTTCAGCTGCAGGGTTTCAGCACCCTAATTCCTGCATTGTTCAAGGGTCAATTTTATTTAGAATATGAGCAGACATATCACAAAAATTACAAAAACTGACAGATACTCCCAATAGGACAAAATCCAGACAACAACATCATAATAAAATAATATGAAAACAATGTAAAAATGATTAACATTACTTAGGTGCCTAATGCACCAGTCATATTTTGGCTGCACACTCTTGGATTGCCTTGTCCGACAGTGATTTTGTAGTATCATTTTTAATAGAGACAAAAGGAGGACAAGCCAGTTTTGCCTCTAGCAGTGGTTCATCAGCGGTTGCTTTTTATTACTGAGCGTTTAGAAAAGTTTCCTTCAGCTTCACAACTTGTTATTGGTGGTGCCTCATCTGGAAGCCTTTTGGCAGTTTCTTGCTCAGGTAGCTTCAGGCCAGAGCACCGGACAACTGAACTCTTGATCCTGGATGGGGCTGTCTGAAGGGTGTGGGCTTGAGGTCATGACCATCAAGACCCCTGAGCTGGTAGCAGAGCAGCATTTGTTCAACTTTTTCTCCTTTTGATTAAAGGAAAGGCTCCTGTGTGTTACAAGATCCACCTAGGTTCAGTTGTTACAGGGACCCAGGCGGGTGTGCAGCCCCAGACCAAGCCCCAAGGCTGAAGTGACTCCCCCAGGCAGGGACATTCCTCACTTCTGGGAAGCATTAAGGCCCCTCCCCTCAAATCCCTCCCCTCTGACCCACTCTGCAAGGGGCCTGATGCCAGGCTTTATTGGCTTCTGGGTAAGTAGGCATTTTGGCTCAACTCCGGTTGGTCAGTAATGTTATCATTTGATCGGTACTTGAAGGAATCTATGGGGCCATTGCAGCGAGATGTGTTCCAGGTGGCTAAGTGAACTACCCTCTTATAATGAGACTTCCAGCCGTGGCTGACTTCCCATCCAGGGCCTGGGTCAATTAGGAAAGTCTCTTATGGAAAGTTAGTTCCCAATGACTTGTTTCAGGGATGGGGAGACTAAGGCAAGAGAAACCCCTGATCCCAATTTCCAACGAAGGTTAGCCTCAGCTTCCTTCCCCGCCCAACCTGAGTTCCAGGCAGTGTGGCAAATACAGGGAGCAGCTGAGCCCCGAGTCCTGGGCGGTGGTGAGGGGAGCTGTCACAAGTCACAGTGGGGATGGGGGTGGGCTTGCCTTGAGCTTCTGTGTGGTGCTGCCCTGGGGGGCCCACAGCCTCTCAGATGAAGCCACCTCTCTGCCTTCAGAGCCACACATTAAAAAGTGTCATCACTGTGGCTGCCATTGGTGGAGCAATTACTGACCCCGTGCACAATGTGCTTCCTACACCGACTCCTTTTGAACTTTCAAGACTCCCCAGAGGAGGGTGCTTGATGCTGCATTGTTCTGTGTGTGAGTAGCGGCTCAGAGAGTTGGAAAACTTGCCCAAGGCCTATGGCCTGGACTGCTGATATGAGTCAGTGCTGGCCTCATTTCTACCTGGAATGCTGAATTTAAACCTTGAGTGGAGGGTGTGGAGGACCTTTTCCCAAGGTCTTTAATGCCCAATTCTCCTGCGCATCCCCCACCCCTTAACCTGTTCACAACTTGTCACTCAGAATCTTTAACTTCATCTCCATCATCGGGGAGTGAGTGAGGCTGGAGAGAGTAGGGGATGGAGTCCAGGGCTGGGGGAGGAGTCACGGGCAGAGGAAGATTCTTCAGCTGCGGGAAGGTTTGGGTTCCTCTGCTACTGCTGTCTCCCTGCAATTCCGGCTCCTGGAGATAATGGCTTTTCCAGGGCTTCTGAGCAGTTACTCAACAGAGATCTTCACCTTCCCCCTGACATGAGATGAAGAAAACAAGGTCTACAGTCCACTCCAATTCTTTTCAGAGAGGATTTCTGTTTGGAATCCCAGAAGGAAGTTGTGTGTGTATGTGTGTGTGTGTGTGTTTTGTTCTGTATGGGACAGATGGGGGGGAGGGTAAGGAAGGATTAATTTATGAGCCACTCTAGGGAAATAGAAGCGGAAAAGGAAGATGAGGAGAGTAAAGCTGGGAAGGTGGAGAATAGGCTTTCCAAGGTGACCCTGCCCTTAGAAATGCCCCCAGGTTTTTAGCACAATCTGCATGTGTTCCAGGAGGTGGAGGTGGGGGTGAGTGTAGGTGGGGGTGGGGTGGGGGTGGAATGGGGTGTGTGTATGGTTTCATTTGTGAACCTGTGCAGGGTCTGAGTTCTGGGAGGGGCCCAAGAGCAGCCCAGTGGGAGGTAGGATGGATTCAGAGAGAAACCGGGAGCACCTGACAAGGGCCTGAGAGATGGTAGGAGGGCTCTGGTGAGTCTGGGTCTGGCTGAGTTCACCAAGTCCTCTCAGGGGTGGGGGCCAGCCGACCCAGTTACACGCTCCCACGTGAGGCAGGTGTCAATATTCAGCAATCCTATTTCTGTGCTCTACCCCTTAAATGAGGAATTTAGAAGCAACCTCATGTTTCCTAGTTGGTGGCTAAGGTAGTCAACCACCTATCTTCAGAATTACACAGTTTTGAAAATTCTGAGAGACAAACACATAAGAGAAAGACGTTTGGACCACGTGCTAGCTGCCAAATGCCTCATTTTTGTCCAGAGAGAAATAGAAAAATGTTTTAAAAGACGCATTGGCCACCCTGCCAACCCTTCCTTCTCTGAGATGTGCATTCCAGATCCCGGGAATCACATCTACACCCACTTCTAGTGCTTCACTAAAGGATGCGATATTGGCTCATTTGGGTAGCTTCCAATCATGATGAATGGCCAATGCAAGCAATCTATGAAGTCCAGAAAGAAAGGGCTTCATGAATTATTTCTGATGCTAATTGGCAAAATGAAAAATCATAAAACACTTTGCATGGAGAGGCGATTAGGGGATGTGTCGAAGGCCTCGGTGTTCTGTACCGTGAGAGTTTGTGTGCTTCTCTGTCTCATGTTTCTCATTCTGGGAGAAAATTGCATTTGATCCTCAGTGGGTTGATAAAGTCCAGGCCGCACATCCGGCAGTGTGATGGCCTCCTCAGCAGAGGCAGGGTGTTGTAGCAGGGCCCCACCTTAACCAAAGAAAACCGAAGTCTCCACTCCTGAGGAGCTATTTGTGGGGCTGCAGCATAGAACAGATGGATAAACCTTTAGAGTCCCCAATCTACCTCACCCCGCACTTTACTTATTTCAAAACCCTCATTCCTCTCCATCAAATACGTTTTGAGCTCTTGCTAAATACCGGGCACTGGGTCCTCCCGGCAGCCTGTTTTATGACCACCAGTAAAAAGAATGAGCATTTTTTTGTACATTTATATGGGTTCTGGGCACAGTACTAAGTATTTTATGGACAATATCTCTTGCAATCATGGCCATTTTTATCCCCATTTTAGAGATGAGGAAACCAATTTAATATGATCTGTTATAAGTCCATAATCCTTTTTCTGAAACCCTAGGGACTGGAGTGCAGAATTTTTGTGGTGCAGATTATATATCATATATTATGTGAGACCCCTAGTGCAGCAGCACCAAATAATAAAATGCACCAATATTTATGCAAAAAGACGTTTAAACTGTCTCACTCAGCGGGATAAGGATTACAAATAGCCTCATGTCATTGAGGGCCATGATGCCAATTGAATTACAAAAAATGTTTTGGTTTTCAGAGCTTTTTGGAGACATGCATAAGGGACTGCCACGTGTTCAGGGTCCCGGTTTCATGTGTATCGGAGCTCGGTCTCCAGTCGCTGCCTCCATGTGTTTGACCATTATCCACACTTCTCTCTCCAAAGTATAATTGACATCTCTCATTTATAGCACAGGCCACTGGCATAACCTGCTGCCTCACTTTTCCAGGTCTGCCTTGCCTCCACATTCATTCCTCACCCCAGCCCTCCCCAGCCCCAGTGGGAGTTAGATCAGGTGATAGCCCAGCTTTAGATGCTTTTGTGGGTCCTCACCCCCCTTTCCACACCTTCCCAGGCTCTGTCTGCCCTGCCCACCCCGCCCTTGTTCCAGCTACTAAGGCGAGAGAACTTTCTCATTTGGGTTTTTGCTTTTGTCTTTTATTCAAACACAAGAAGCTTTTTCTCCTGTCATAGTTGCTCTCCAAAATATTCTCATCCCTTCTCATGGCACACTTTTCACCCCTCTCCATTCGTCTTCATTCTTTTAGAAGCTTAGTCACTTCCTCAGTGAGATCTTCTTCAGCCACCCGAATTAAAGTACTTCCCAACCTGCTGTTCCCTACCCATCACCCTTACCCCCTCAACCACAATTTCATGCAGCAATCAAGAAATACTCATGCACTTACTATGCACCAGTCATTTACATGCTGTGGATGTGGAGGGGAAAGGCTGGGTGGGGGCAGGAAGCGCGTGAGCCTACATTGTCAAGGACTGAGCGGTTTCCCCTCTGAGCACAGGGCATGTAGTCAATGTATTAAGGGAATCAAAGCTAGGAAATGGATGGTTCCTTGCAGCCACTTGCCGAGAGGTGGGTGATCTGAGTACCGGCAGCTGGCAGCCATGGGAATCACTTCCAGTTACTCCCTCATGTTCCCCGTTCATGGTGGGCCTCATGATCGTCCAGGTACTTATCCCTCTGAGCCCCAGAATGGCCTTAGCATCCTTCCCAGCAGAAGAGCCCTGTCAATTCATCAACCTGGCCTGATTTGCCATTGCAGACTATGCAATTTAAGGTAGAGCACACTCCTTAGCTCTAGTTAAATATTCATAAACATTTCCTTTTAGAGAGGATATAGGTGGAATCATTTCTTAAAAACCGTATCTTGCTCTGGATTTATTGAGTCTATTTCCCCCCTCTTTTTTTCTTTTCCCAGGAGAAAATAATGAATGTCAAAGGAAAAGTGATTCTGTCGATGCTGGTTGCCTCAACTGTAATTGTTGTGTTTTGGGAATATATCAACAGGTAATTATGAAATACGTTGAAATGATGTAGATGAAAGTGACTCTGATCTGCTAGTGTTAGCCAAGTCACCAAGTTGAATTAAAGGTAGATTTAACTGAAACCATCAAGAAGAGATTCCACCCTCCTGGTGTCCCTGAACCTTGGACTATCTTTATAAGCCTTCGAGCTCTGGGTGCCTTCTGGCTAATTCACTATCTTCCTTCCTGCCATGTTCCCAATGTCTTGATTTTTGTACTTAGGCAGTTCTGGACAGGCTAAGCACAGAAATAGTAAGGTCTTATTAAGCCCAAAATGTACTTTATAATAATACATATGGCCAGATATAGAAATTACCTTTAAGAAATTTCAGACACAAATTCCATAAGAAATTCACCCTGGTTTTTGCAATCCTGGATATTTGCAGAGTTTAATGGAGCAACTCAAGTTGTTGACTTTTGTTGCAAAATACACTTGAATCACTGGTGATTCATTTGTGCCTGGCCGAAACTTCCTTTCTTTTCTTTTTTAACTCTGGAAAGCAAAGGGAATGAAACATTCCCGAGTGCATTCACCCAAAAACACTGCTTCTGTGCTTCTGGAAACTACAGTGCCTCAGAGATTCCAGCTGGAGAGGCTTCTGATAGAAAGAGGGCTACACAGGCAGCTGCAAAAATGCATGATGTCTTTGACTTAAAAGGCCCTGGTATAGCTCGTCCAAGAGGTCCATCGTACAGCTAGCTCTAGGCAGGGAGAGCTGTCCGGGCACCGTTAATATACTCATGGTGAAGTGTTTTAGTAGCCCCCATATTTCACCATGACAGCCTGGATTAACATGTGAATATCTTCCAATTCTTAAATTCTAAGATGAGCCAACAGGACCATTGTGGCTACCAAAAAAGGAACTGCACCTTGAGGTCCATCAGTAGAAGAATTGCTCCAGAATTGGGGAGTCTTCCCCCTACACCCTGAGGTGCTGCATAATCTAACTGCTTTGGGAGAGTCATTCTGAACAACACATTGCAAGAAAAACAATATGAGTGTGACCAAGTTAGGAGGCCTACAAACCAGGTCTTTCAAATTGAGGAAACTGGGGGTACTTAGTCCAAAGAAAAGATGAATCAGAGTTAGATGAAGGGACCCTGAGCCTGCTTAGGTACTCCAGGGCTGAGTTTGGAGTGAGGGCTGCCTGGGCTGATTCTGTGCCACCACTTATCCCCTCAGTGACTTTGGGCAATTTACACAGCCACTCTGTTCCTCATTTTCTCTATTTGTAAAAATGGTGACAGTGCCCTAACTGGTTTGGCTCAGTGGATAGAGCATCGACCTTCTGACTGAAGGATCCCAGGTTCGATTCCAGTCAAGGGCATGTACCTTGGTTGCAGGCACATCCCCAGTAGGAGGTGTGCAGGAGGCAGCTGATTGATGTTTCTCTCTCATCAATGTTTCTGACTCTCTATCCTTCTCCCTTCCTCTCTGTAAAAACTCAATAATATATATATATATATATATATATATATATATATATATATATATATATATATATTTTTATTTAAAAATGGTGAGAGTAACAGTACCTGCTTCATAGGTTTGTTGGGAGAATTAAATAAGATATTGAGTATAAAGCAGGTGGGGCAATATCTGGAACTTAATAAGCACTCAAGAGATGCAAGCTGCAATTTCCATCTTCATCATCATCACCATCACCATCGTCCTCTCCTCCAGAGGCAGACTAGGACAGGGGTTTTGGCAGATGGCAGGAAGCTCTAGCAGTTCCAAGAATCCAACAGAACAGGTAACCTTTGGGGGTCCGGCCCTGAGTTAGGATGCTTGTGTGGGTAACCTTCAAGCTGTGAGTGCTTGATTGGATGACCATGGTGCTTTGAATTGCAGCCAGAGTTGTGTTTCCTTATTTTGAGGGTTCACAAATTAAATTATTGGAGCCAAAGGCACAAATGTGCATATTGGTAATAGCATCCCATAAAGAGGGTAGTCGGGCAGGTTCTGGCTGCTCTTCAGGCCATGTGGCACCCAGACTGTGGCCACATCATTCTTCAATGTGCAGAGTCCACTTGAATACCTGCAAGGGGCTTAAAGGACAGCAGATCCTTTGCCACCTTATGAACTGGCTGTGTGATAATTTGAGATGAGCTGAGTGCACTAACCTTAGACAGGTGGGCAGTGATGGGCTAAAAAGGATTTTAAAATAACTGAACACATCAAACAATTAGTAAATGAAGCTGCTGTCAGCAGCGCATCGGAACTAATGTCACCCAGGACAGCGGTTGATTTGATGCTGGATGGAAAAAAAATCTTAGAATTTTAGAGCCAGAGGAAACTTTGATGTGGCCATAGTTACAGTAAAAGAATAATGATGATGATGGCGATCATACTGATAGCAGCTACCAGTTACTGAGTGATGGTTTGTGTGTACTAGGAACTGTGCTGTGCACTCCCTCTGTCTCTTAGTCCAAGTTTCTAGATGAGGGTGGAGCAGTGTGTCTCTGAAGCTCTGAGCTGGATGTGGCATTAGGCTCTGCAGTCATTTTGTTTTCTAGGGGAAGGTAAACCCTGGGTGAGGGGTGGCTGGGCCGTGGTGTTCCTGAGGAGATGGCAGGAGGAAACCCATCTGTGAGCCTCTCTCCCTCGATGAAGCCACAATGAAGAGCTGTCTTTTTTATTTACTAAGATTGAGTCTCCAGAGACTTCCTTACTGGGTAAATACTGACGTGACTGCAGTGCAACTTCCCATTATCCTGAGGTCATTGGTTTTAACTCAAAGGAAGGTGGAAATCTAGGAGTAGCTAAAACCAGGCTCTCAACTCAGCCCGGGGCTTCAATGATAATGGCTGCAAAATAGCTTTTCTCAGAGTTAAAAGTAACATGATATGTTTTTCTTTCCCCTTTGCTTTTAGCCCAGAAGGCTCTTTCTTGTGGATCTATCACTCAAAGTAAGTGCTTTGAATTCTAGAGGTCTTTGGGACGGCCCACGGCCACTCCTGCACCTCCTACTGTCCCTTCTTAACATGGCAGCTGGTGACGGCGCTGTGCTCAAAGGTGGAGGGCAGAGGTGGGTCCCCAGAGATCTGGAGAGCATGCCTCTGGCCTCCTAGACATGCCTTTATAGAGCCATGGCTGTATTTTGCCCTTGCTTCTTTATCATGAAGGGTTTCTTTAAGTGGTATCCTTCGCAACATTTCTGCCTTCCCAATAAAGAGAGTCAGGGTGGATAATGGTCCCTTCTGCTAAATTTCCTTGGGACAAAGGACCATGAAAAAAGTTTGGAACTCTGATGAACTAGTGCAGTGGTCGGCAAACTCATTAGTCAACAGAGCCAAATATCAACAGTACAACAATTGAAATTTATTTGAGAGCCAAATTTTTTAAACTTAAACTTCTTCTAACACCATTTCTTCAAAATGGACTCGCCCAGGCTGTGGTATTTTGTGGAAGAGCCACACTCAAGAGGCCAAAGAGCCGCAGTTTGCTGACCACTGAACTAGTGGGTGTATTATTATTATTATTATTGTCATCATCATTGTTGCCAGTAAGAACTATGTAAGCCTTCATTTTTCTATCTTTGGCTTGGTTGCCAGGAAGTCCAGAGCAATGTGGTTTGCTTAACTGCTTGTACTTTCCTCAGGCTTCATTTCTGATACAGCTTATCTCGTGGCATTAAGTCTGGGTTTTTATGCTTACAAATGCCATGGGATCTTGGCATTTTCCCCAAACCCACTCAGCCAATATTTCAGCAACAAATGAAAATAGAGGTACAACCTTTATTCTTGAGAGTTGCTGGGATGACCAGGGTCATGTGAAAATACGTACCTAAATGACTAAGTAAATGTTTCTCTTTCTGTTCCCTCTTGTTTGTTTTATTCTGCTATTATTTCCCTGGTTATTGTAACTATAGTTCTTAATCATAAACCATCTTAAATGCTTCCTGAAAGTGGATGAGCTTTCAAACAGGTTTCTTAATATTATCATGTCCAATAACAACACCTGAGCACTCAATTTGTCCAAACAAAAGGCCTACATTGCCTGGTTTCCCATTTCGCCTTCCCCAGAAGGGCCGTACCTTGGGGAGACTCACAAGATGAGTGTGAAAACTTCTGCATGTTGTTGGGGAAGGTGGCTTCTGATTACAGGTTTCTGACTTTCTGGTTCAGAGACCTCAGGTTTCTGCAACACATGAAAAAGATCATATGCCATGATCAGGTAGCATATATTCCAAGATTCAAGGTTGGGACAATAGCTGCCAAACAATAAATGTATACACCACATAAGCAGAGACCCTCAGATTTCCTGAGGCTGTGCGTGCCTGCTGACTTTGTAGCGACCTGAGTTCTCCTAGTTAAAGCAAAAGAGATCATTCTTGGACAGGTGTGCTGGTTTCTTTATTAAGATGACAACCTGTTACATTTATTTTCAACTTAGAAAGCTCTTTTATTTATGCTATTTCACTTAGCTACCTACATGGTAGGTTTATTGTTGTTGTTGTTATTATTATTATTGTTATTATTATTATCCAGGATGGGGCAAAAGTAGACTCACAACTATAAACTTACTTTTGCCCCACCCTGTATTAGTATTATTATCTGATTTTCCAGAGGAGAAAAATAGAGATTCAGAAAGGGAAAAATTGCCTATCATAGCCATACAATAGTAAGTGGCAGATCCAAGACTTGAGTTTAAGTATTACTGTCTATAGTCGTAGTCCCGTTCCCCACCTCCACCCCCGCCCACCCCCATCTTCTCTTTCTCTCCTACCCTGTGGGGCTCCCTGGATGATGAGTGAGTGCTGGGGCTGTCCCAGGAGGAGAGGTCTGGGTACTGTCAGGCCCGGCCTCTCTCATTCACCTGGAGCAGCTTCACTTCTGTCTGTTTTACCAGCTGACAGTTTTAAAAATTTATGTTTAATCATTTTCTGTCATAAAAAGAATTTGGAAAAACCCAATCTGGGACTGCCTCATTTTCTAAAAATGTTTCTCATCTTTTTCATTTCTTAGAAACCCAGAACTTGGTGACAACGGCAGTCAGAAGGGCTGGTGGTTTCCGAACTGGTTTGAAAATGGGTAAGGCTATGAGACGCTGGTCTGTGTATCCACCGACTGAATAGAGTCCAGATAAATAGTGTCATGACCATGGTAATCTCAGTCACTCATGTTTCTGAATTATTAAAATCATACAAGGAATCTATTTCATGGTTGGCAATGGAACATTAAAGGTTTTTGTTTTTGTTTTTTAAGTTGGGGGTGAGTGGGGATTGGGCTGAAGTTCAGGTTGTGGAAAAGATTATCATAAGATGTCCTTATGTGGACTATTTGATAAAATTCCCCCGCCCCTGAAATCTGAGGGCTGGTGTGTTATTAAACTGCTAACTATGCTGTCTTGGATCATCATAACAAAGGGGTACTGCGCCTTTTCATCCAAAATATGTCCTTATGAATAACCGTTTAGTGTTATGAACCTTCTCCAGCCAGTCACTAACTTACCAACACGGCAGATACCCTCCCTACCTTACTCACCCTGCTTTCCCTTTATACATAGGACCCACAATTCCCAAGAGGAAGAAGACATAGAAAGAGGAAAGGAAGACAACAAAGAGCTTCAGCTATCCGACTGGTTCAATCCAGAGTAAGGGTGTCCCCAACGTGCAGTAAATCCATGGGTTAGTGGGAGGTGGCAGGGGGCTGTATAGGCAACAGTGCCACTGAGCACATCCCTCAGTGGGGAGACAGAATCTTAGACCTTTAATGACAGAGTAGATGAGAAACAGAGTCTGGATGTTTTGACTCAATTGCTGGAACAATAACACGGTGACTGGCCAGTGGTAGCAGGTGAATCACAAAATACTCAGCTGTGGTCTTAAAGACGGCAGGTTGTGGAAAGCCACAGGATGGAGAGTCAGAGTAAGAAAATTCTCTCTGAGATTCAGTTAAACTCATCTGTAAAATGGCAACGGTGATGCAAAATGTCAGGGCCACACATGCATCCTTTCAGCATGAAATTTCAGCAAGAAATATTTATCCAACACCTATGATAGGCTAACTGGTGTTTTTCAAACTACTGATCACTCTCCATTATTGTGTTCAGATAATAGCTTAATAAGCTTTTTTAAAAAAATTGAAAATAAATAGACAATCAGAGGGTATAACAATGGGGATTAGGTTTTAAAAAACATAAATTTGGGAATGTGGAGGGAAGCACACAAGCAATGTATCCCATCTATTAGCATTGCCCAAGCTCAGCAGACGATATATGGTGGAGATGGAGGATGAGAGGCCATCAGAATACAGGTGCCAGCGGGATCTGCCACCTGTCTCAGACCACCCTCTGATGAGAGTGGCACACTTTTACGGTGACACTTGTACTTTGCTGAGCAGGATTTGAGAGGCGGGTCAGGGCTGAATTACTAGGAACAGAGAGGAGGGCCACCAGCTGTCATTCTCTTCAGTCTCCCCCATACATGGCTCAGCTTCTCTCTAAAGGAATGGTGAGCAGATATTTAAAGAATATTGGTTTGAATTTAAGCCTTCTCAGGCACCAGAGTGCGTTTCTCACATAAATGACTAGATCAACAATGGAATAAACAAATAAATATATTTATATAAATTTATTCTTTTCTGTAAATTACCTAAAACATCACAGTAAACATTTCTACATCAATCTCTCTCAGCTTTTTTGACACCAGATCCTTGTACTTTTCCTCCCACTCCCCATTCTCCCTTCTGTCTCCTTGACAGGGGCTTCTCCTTTCCAGCCTTCGCAGATTAGAGCTTCTGGAGGTTGAGTCCAGTATCCTCATCTCTTCTTTACACACCATCTTCCATGTGCTCTCATCCATTCTCAGGGCATTAGAGGACACCTGTATGAGACTGATACCCATGTATATCTTTAGCCCAAAGGTTTCCTCTGAGCACTGACTGTCTAACTGCCTGTGTGCTGTCTCTGCATGTCTCATGTGATTCCACCAAACACTTGTTCCCATTTCCCATCTCAAGCCAGGGTCTGGGACAGCTCTCTGATTCAGCCTCCTCCTCCACCCATCCTACAGTCTAAATCATTAATGTATTTCTATTAATTCTTTCTCTAAAATTCTTCCCAAATCATCTTATCTGCATTTCACAGCCCCCACCCTTGTCCCTGTTGCCATAGGCTCTTTGCTGGGTCTCTCCAGCAGCTGCTGCCTAGAAGGCGTTCACTAAATAATGTGTGATTCCACATCTTTGTTGACCTGTACAGTTAATGGAATTTTAACAACACTTGGGTAGATACCACAATGTTCCCACAAATGAGTGCATACAATGAAAAAGCTACCAATCTCACGAGTGTAGGTTTTGGTTCTGGAGCCCTTTTAACTTGTGGGACGCCTTTGGCCTGTACTGGTGAACTCGGTGGATACTCTGCTTGGAAAGTTTTGGGAGCAGCTCCGAGTCTTTCCCAGCAGCACTTCCCCTCCTTTTAGAACCCCATCTTTGTGACCTTGAACATCTTTGGCAGTTGAGAGTGGCAAAGGCTAGCTCTTGCACATGAGTCTTGATGACTAAGACACATTGATACAGAGGTTCATTCAGGAAACTGATCTTATCTTGTCTCCCATCTCCTCCCCACCACTCCCTGCGAGTCATCTGGCTTCTTTTCTTAGTCAGGGGAGCTGACATATTGGACTTGCCAGTGGAATTAAATAGTTAACAGATGGGAAATAGAACATTTTTAATTAAACATTAATTTTTAATAGTGCTATTTTTTTTTTTTTTCCTGCTCAAAGGAACTTTCCCAGCCAAGTAACCAAACTGAGCACTGGTTTTCTGACTCAGTCTTTCTAAAAGTTGTGGCGTGAGTGGTCATGTAGTTGAAGTGTGTGTAGCAGGCTAGCCACCTGTCAGGACTGAGATTCGCAAGGGGGAGTAGAGGGTGGGAAGTTCTCATTTCTCTGATCCCCGTGCTCAGCACTGGGCCTGGTAAAGGAGAAGGAACTTCCAAAATGTATACCAAGAGATTGAGTGCCCTGGTCTGGCCCTTCCTATAAATTAAATGGCTTAAGTCCAAGTTCCTTTCTTCTATCCTGCCTCATTTATTTGTAAATGGAGATGATGATAGCATCTATTTTATAATCCATGGTAAGAATTAAATGAGGCAGTGAAAGTCAAGTACTTAGGCCCTGTGTACCGTATTCACTACACCAGTTCCCTTTCTTTCCTCCTCTTTTCCTTTTTAAGAAATTAATATTACCTGCCTAGCAGATGCCCAGCTCCTACACAACTGCATGACTTAGGCTGGGTCAGAACTGTCAAAAGGTCCTTGACAAGCTAAAACAGAACTGCAGTGAGGTGACAATGCACGGGAGAGTTTAAGTTCAGAAATGTTGGTTATGGCAGTGGGGTGTGTGCGTGTGTGTTTTGAAATTCAGTCATTCAACAAAGCTGGGGGTTTTGTGTGACTAAAGTACTACATAAGCTTCTAAAAACCAAAGGGGGAAAAGCTCATTTCTCATTCTGCAGTGATAAAGCTACTGAAGTAGCTAAATTGAGTGTAAATAATGGGAGACTCAGGTTTTAGCTCCAGCTTCATCAGCATAGCAAGTAAATGTCTGCATAAGAAGTGATATAGGGTGGTGGCTCAGAGCACAGACTCCAGATTTAGCCTATCTGGGTTCAAATCCCAGCTTTGCCCCTTACTAGCTATGTGACCTCAAGCAAGCTATTTAACTTGTGTACAGTTTCCTCTTTGATAACATGAGAATCAAAATAGCATCCACCTCTGAAGGGTGAAACTCTTAGCACAGTACCTGGTCCCACAGTGTGTGTTAGTTACCATCATCGGTGGCCAACTATGTGGCCTTGAACAAGTTAACATCTTCCTGAGCCTTGATTTTCTTACCTGTACAATGGACATACTACATGGCATAGCAAGTAAATGTCCACATAAGAAGTGATATAGGGTGGTGGCTCAGAGTACAGACTTTGCCTCCAACACTGGCCTTCTTCCTGCAATGGATGAAGTACAAGCAAATGCCTAGCAGGATCAGGCCTGTGTATGCTGGAATTTACATAGAAATGTCTGTTTCAGTCTCTGCTTCCCAAGGGGGGAAATGCTGCTACTTCCTGAGCAAAAGAGAGTCAGAGCTGAGTCTCCACCACCTACTCCGGGCTGAGTATCAACTTGCACTGGGCCTCAGCTGCTCCTGAGCCTTTCTGCCTTTACCTTCAGCTTGTTGTAGCTCTGACGTTGCTTCCTGTGTTTGTATTGGCTTTGCCAAGTTCCTTTCAAGTGTTCTGAGGGCAGAGAGCATGCTTTTCCCCTCCTGTCTGTGCTCCTAGTCAGGAGGCCCATGTCTGAGCTGGGTGCTCCAGCCTGGGCTATAGGGGCCTCTGCTGGGTCTGTTCTTTTCGGGGGGCGGAGGGGAGACACTCTCTCCTTATTTGGGAAATAAATAATAATACCAGAACCCCCTAGTCTGGGGCTCTTTTGGGCCTCTAACAAGGTTCCTATTCAGAAATCCTTTTATTTCTGAATTGTGAAAGGCACATTGAAATGGTTTCTCTCTTTCATCTCATTGCCCCTTTCTCATCACCCTGTATAAAGGATCCGGTCTTTCTTAGGCTCAGATGGTACCCACAGGGATAATAACTTAGGAAAGGGCTTAGGAGATAGGAAAGAGGATATGAAATGAGCAGGGAAGATCCCCATAACAACCTCCAGGGGCACCTGGGCCTCCCATCCCACACCTGGAAGAGGCTGCCCCTGAAATGTCCTATGACGCAGCCAGGATTCAGGGACAATAGACTGCAAATCCCAGCTGAGCCCAAGTTTTTCGCGGTCTCTGCCCCACTTCAGGAAAGCTGTTCCCACTCACAGGACTCTGTGTTTTGTCACCAGGAAACGGCCAAAGGTGGTGACAGTGACTAGTTGGAAGGCACCTATAGTGTGGGAAGGCACTTACAACAGAGCCATCTTAGAAAATTACTATGGCAAACAGAAGATTACCGTGGGATTGACGGTTTTTGCTATTGGAAGGTAGGTATCACCATTAAACTTGACATTGACTTCTTGTTCCAACTGTCAAAATGCTTGTGATGGTCTCCCTAATCTACAGAGGCTGTTCATGACTTGTTTGAATGGTCAGATGAGAGAATGTTATAATGGGACCATTTCAGTCTCATTTCTGCTGAGACCTCCCAAAAATGAGGACACAACCATAGTCGGTGAGTGGACTCTTTCCAACCTCAAAGTGAGGTTTCAGGATATAGGTAAAAATGTCTGCTACACACACTGAACCCAGAGTGTACAGCTCACCCACAGCCACCTTCACCCCGATCTCCATGGCTTTCTCTGGACATTCCAAAAATGCCAACAGTTAGTGCACCGTTCTTTCCATGCTCTCAAGACCCAGGACCAAGGACAAAAGCTCTTAGAGCAGGTTCTCAGTGATCTAAGTGTGGTGGTTTTCCATGTAGGAGCTGGCTGATCACTCTTCCTTGGGTTCCTCCTGGAGGACTCAGGCCCACAGAGATTTGGCTGGCCAGAACTTCCTCTTGTCAAAGTTGGATAGGTACCTCTTTCAGCTTCCTTTTCCTTGTTTAGAATGTTTCTCCCCAAATTTTAATCATTCTTACTTGAAATTGGTAGCTCATAATATTAGTTTTAAAATACAATGCATTTCACTCTTTTGGAGATTTTTCAAAAACAAAACAAAACAAAACAAAACAAAACAAAACAAAAGAAGCAAACGTTCAATTTTCCTATTTCTTTCCCAACCTCATCTCTTGGTTTTCTCATCAGTACCTTTTCTGAAAGCCATGTGGAAAGCTGACCCCTTTGCCCAATACAAAGAGTTGAAGGTCCAGGTTTATATGAGCTCAAGCTCTGCCCACCATAGCACCTAAAGGAGAGCTCAGTAGACCTGATAGTCCTCCTAAGTCCTCCAACCCAGAGGTCAGAAGCCATCACCGGCACCATACTGATTTAAGTCCTAATATCACTAACTGTATTGATCCCAGGGACCTATGTAGCATCTCTAACAGAAAGAGGTAGCTGTAGTTTTGACATTTTTACTAGAAGAATCAGTATTGTTGAGTTGGGAGCCAATATTCGCCCAGCTCACCTAATCCTTTGGCAATAGAAGGGACAAGCCAGCCATGCTGCAGGTTGATTTGATCCTGGTGTTTCCAAAGAGAACAGAACTGCCCCACATGACTTCAACTAACAGTTATGTCAATGAGAGAAACATCTAAACCTATAAAGAATTTTAAAAAATATATTTTTGTTGATTTTTTACAGAGAGGAAGGGAGAGAGATAGAGAGGTAGAAACGTCGATGAGAGAGAAACATCGACCAGCTGCCTTCTGCACACCCCCTACTGGGGATATGCCACAACCAACGTATCAATACATGCCCCTGACCGGAATCGAACCTGGGACCCTTCAGTCTGCAGGCCGACACTCTACCACTGAGCCAAACCGGTTTCGGCTAAACCTATAAAGAATTTTTATAGGATTTTATTTGACCCAAATTGATAACAGTTGTCGGGAAGCAAGACCTCAAATGTTTGAGAGAATGACAGTTTTGCAGTTTCTTTTATGCATTTGAAATTAAGGAGGGAACATAAGAAATATTACATGAATGCCGAAACCGGTTTGGCTCAGTGGTAGAGTGTTGGTCTGCGGACTGAAAGGTCCTGGGTTCGATTCTGGTCAAGGGCATGTACCTTGGTTGCAGGCACACCCCCGGTGCGGGGTGTGCAGGAGGCAGCTGGTCGATGTTTCTCTCTTATCGACATTTCTAGCTCTCTATCCTTTTCCCTTCCTCTCTGTAAAATATCAATAAAATATATATATATATATTTTTTTTTTTAAAAAGAAATACTACATGAGGGTGGAAGAAAGCATGGTGTATGGGATAGTTAAGATTATGTGCTCTCTTGAGGGTGGGACTCTTATTTCAAAGGTATGTTAACCTAGAAGCACAGAAACAATGGACAGGGCTTGCTTAAAGTTAAAAATAAACCTTTTACTAAAGAAGTTATATGCTTGGGGCATGACTACCCACCATGATCTATCCAATTAGGAATTTATGATCTGATAAACTGGTTTACATTCTGTATAGCCCCCCTTTTTGTCCACAGTTGCAACTGCGGAACTAAAGGGTAAATAACATGTCCAGTGAAAGCCCTGTGCTCTCTGCTCTGAGGCAGGAGAGGACTATATTCATCGGCAATAAACCTTCACAAGAGTGTATTTGGACTTTTAGGAGGTGTGATGTTTGGTTTATTTTCAAATAACAATGCAATCTCAGAGCTCCAATCTCTAAACAGTGTTAGACTACACAATGGCTCACGTCCTCCCCACAGGATTATTTCCCAGCTTCAGGGCACGACAATTTTTTCTTAAAGGTACAAAACACTAAAGAATTTCCTAGCCATCAGCCACAGAGCTGTGTCAAGTCCTTCTTTATACTGCTCAGATTCATGTTCTCCATTTAAGGACTCAGTACTGTAAATGCTTAGGTTTTTAGCGGCCTCCATTATAAATACACTTTAATTGCGTAGTAAAGAAAGGGATCCAAGCAGCAACCAAAATGAAAAAGTACCAGTTATTATTACTCACAAGACATCATGATTGGCCAGTACTGTGATTATCCCATTAAATTCAGTCCACATTCACTGAGCATAAGTCTGGGGTTTGCATGAGTTGGGTCAAGCCATCTTTCTACTCCTCCCTCTTGTCTCTGATCCACATGGCTTTACAAGGGAGTATGTAGCTGGGTTACAGAAGATATTAACATAGTATTTTTTGAATGAACAGACAAATACCTAAAATACTACTACACACCTATTTGAATGGCCAAAATCCAAAACACTGAGAACACCAAATGCTGGGAAGTAACAGAAACTTATTGCTTGTGGTACTACTCCTTTGGAAGACAGTTTAGCAGATTCTTCACAAAACTAAGCATACTTTTACCATGCAATCCAGCAATTGTGTTCCTTGGTATTTACACAAAGGAGTTGAAAACATGTCCACGTAAAAGCCTGCAGGCAAATGTTTATAGCAACTTTATTCATAGATACCAAAAATGGGAAGCAGCCAAGATATCCTTCAGGAATTGAATGGATAAACTGTGGTACATCCAGATAGGAATATTATCTGTATTAGTGACAAAGAGGAACCTAAGTGTATATACTAAGTGAAAGAAACCTATCTGAAAAGGCTACATATTGTATGATTCCATACTGTACGACATTCTGGAAAAGGTAAAACTATGGAGATAGTAAAAAGGTCAGTAGTTGCCAGAGCTGGGTTGAGGGAATGAATAGGCAGAACACAAGATTTGGGGGACAATTAAAATTCTGTATAATACATAATGGTAGATTCATGTCCTTATAGATTTGTCCAGACCCATGGGATGCATACCAAGAGTGAACCTTAATGTAAACTATGGACTTGAGGTGATAATGATGTGTCAATGTATGTACACTGACTGCAACACATGTTCCATCTTGGTGCTGAATGTTGTAAGTGGAGAAGAATATGGGAGAGAGGAGGGACAAGGGGAGTATAAGGAAACTCTGTGCTTTTTAAAAAAAAATTTGAAAACATTTTTTAATTCATTTCAGAGAGGAAGGGAGAGAGAGAGAAATGTCAATGATGAGAAACATTGATCAGCTGCCTCCCTCCTGTAAGCCCCCTATTGGGGATTGAGCCCACAACATGGGCAAGTGCCCTGACTGGGAATTGAACTGTGACTTGACATAGCTCTGTGACTTCATGATTCATAGGTCTATTTTCAACCACTGAGCCATACCAGCTGGGCAGGAATTCTATGCTTTTGGTTCAATTTTTCTGTGAACCTAAAAATGTTGTAAAAAATACTTTTTTAAAAAGAAAAAAAATAGTTTAAATAAGGCTAACTCAGAGGTTGTTTGCTTTGATATTTGGATGGGACTTATTATAATGGTATCTGGACAATGGATTGGAGTTTTGGGTGATCAGTGGGAGGCTCACAGAGTGAATATGTAATATGGGAGGATATCCATGTCCCTTTACTCATTCTCTAGGTTCCAGAGTGGCAATGGTTCAGCTTAATGCATCCCCATAGGACCCAAGGGTCACATGGTGCATCTGGTAGGGTAGTAGCAACATTGGGATATAGGTTGGAGTTTTTGAGGGAGGCTAAAAGACTAGCGCCCCCTGATGTTAGTCAAAGGGTGTAAACTTCTAGTTATAACATGAGTAAGTTCTGGGGATCTAATGTGCAGCCTGGTGATTACAGTTAACAATACTATATTATGTAGCTTTAAAAGTTGCTAAAAAAGTAGATCTTAAATATTCTTACCACAAAAGAGAAATGGTAATTATGTGACATGATGGAGGTATTTTTTAACTAAGGTGGTAATCATTTTGCAATATTTTAAGTGTATTAAATCAACACTTTGTATACCTTAAATTTATTTTATATAGTGCTACCAATAAAGCTTGGAAGAAAAAAAGAACTCATATCCCCTTTGCCTACCCAAAGTCTAAACCAAAAACAAAGGGCTAAGGCAGATGGTAGTAAATATCATCTTCATTACAGTTGAGGCTGGCATTGGAGAATGTGGCTTATACCTTGTAGGCTCCAAGCCTCCTAACACTGAATCACAGAGGTAAAAAGACTCGGGCAACCAGGCAACTATAGCACTAGAAACTCCAGGCCTCTGTACATTAGAATGGTGTCTGTACCACTATCACCCTGAAAGGCTCAAAGCATACTTACTATCTCCAACACATACAGTTTCCAAGAATGAGAGGAGAGGAGGGGCAGGGCCATTCATGGCCAGTCGCCTTTCCAAAATAGGCGGTCAGTAAGTCCTTCCACTTCCCCAAGGCAGAGTGACTGAACAGTGGAGAGCAGTGAGGAATGTTATAGTAACAGATTTATCTCCACATGTAAACGTACATCTGCAATAGGAAAAAAATAGTTGTCTCTTGAACTTCAAAATACAAACAAAATTATTAGAAAGTACATGGTCTCCTACAAAGTCCCAGAGGTTACGTTGATCCCTTTCTTCTTTCTTTCAGATACATTGAGCATTACTTGGAGGAATTCTTAACATCTGCTAATAAATACTTCATGGTTGGCCACAAAGTCATATTTTACATCATGATGGATGATGTCTCCAGGTTGCCTTTGATAGAGCTGGGTCCTTTGCGTTCCTTCAAAGTGTTTGAGGTCAAGCCTGAGAAGAGGTGGCAGGACATCAGCATGATGCGCATGAAGACCATTGGGGAGCACATTATGAACCACATCCAATACGAAGTCGATTTCCTCTTCTGCATGGATGTGGACCAGGTCTTCCAAGATAACTTTGGTGTGGAGACCCTTGGCCAGTCAGTGGCTCAGCTACAAGCCTGGTGGTACAAAGCAGATCCTTTTGAGTTTACTTATGAGAGGAGGAAGGAGTCTGCAGCATATATTCCATACGGCGAGGGAGATTTTTATTATCATGCAGCCATTTTTGGAGGCACACCCATTCAGGTCCTAAACATCACCCAAGAGTGTTTCAAGGGAATCCTCCAGGACAAGAAAAATGACATAGAGGCTGAGTGGCATGATGAAAGCCACCTAAACAAGTATTTCCTTCTCAACAAGCCCACTAAAATTTTATCTCCAGAATATTGCTGGGATTATCAGATAGGCCTGCCTGCAGATATTAAGTCTGTCAAGGTATCTTGGCAGACTAAAGAATATAATTTGGTTAGAACTAATATCTGACTTTAAATTGTGCCAGTCGGTTTCTGAATTTGAGAGAGTATTCTGGCTATTTCTTCGGAAAAGTAACACTTAATTTTAACTTGAAAAAATACTAACAAAACACAAACCCAGCAAGTACTACTCCTCATAACTTTGAGCCTTGTAATATGGGAGCATGAACCTCTGGTAATCAGATGTAAATTCCCAATGATTTCTTATCCTGGGTTTGGGGAAAATATATCAGATTAACTTAAAAAAAATTTTCACAGGCCATAAAAAAGCCAGAAACACTCTACATATGTCAAATAATGTACTGGAGAAAAGGGTGCTGAGTCTAAGGAAATATCGGTTGCTTTACAGCGGAACTTGCAATGAGGACACCTTCTACCTGGCAATCCTCAAATGGTTTCAGTAGCAGATCACTTCAGGCCATTTTGGAGTACATGTGTCTTTTTCTCAGGATGTTGTTTGGCTTCTGTGCAAAAGACTTGTTGAGACTCCTGGTAGTTATCATAGTGGTAAATGTTTGGAGTTACAGGGAATCTGAAGGAAATGGAAACAAAGCCTCAAAGTGAGTTTCCCATGAAATAGAAGAGAGTGGAAAGATCATGGTTGGGCCATGGCACCTGAGAGGTCCCAGGAGATGGATTGGCACTTAAATATATCATGGATCCAGTTGCTAAATGGGAAAGGGATAATGTGGATGGTCTCCAGCCTCCTTAATCCCATGACAACCAGAGCAGAGGGGACTTGAATTAAAAATACTTCTTTGTTTTGCCCAAGTCACATTCAGTCTGCCAGATTCTGCAACTGTATCTTCAGATCCTTGGCCAGGAAAAGTGGATGGTGTCAGAGAAGACAGAAGTCTAAAATGGACTGAAGAGGCTTTCAAGGAACTTTCCAGTCTGAGGTTTCAGGACAATCATCATCTGAAAGTCCAACTGCCATTTGCTCTAACCCTCAGCTTATTGTGCCCAGTTTGGGGGGCTGACATCAGGAATGGATTGGAGGAAAAGCCCTCCCTCCAAATAATCTAATTTTCCCCTGCCTCTATCTGCACTACTGAGGTGTAACAACCAGGCGCATTTAATGGTTAATTGATTTGATATCAAATGCAGACGGGATGGCAATGGGAGATCCAGTCCTCATAACTGAACAGCTTAACATTCAATTCCCTTCTCTAAGAGAAGTTATAAAATCCTACCTATTATTTAAAGTTAAGCAATTCAATGTAAAGAAAGTTAGAAGGCAACATTTACATATTTATATTTTGCTTGTGTTCTAGTTAAAGTCATGTTTCCTTTTTTAAGTGATTTATTTGAAGAATCATTGTGCTGGCTTGATGGTCAGCATACTGAGCTTCTCTGATAAATTGAAACCTACATTTTCTCTACTGTTGCACTGTGCCTTTTACTCTTCACTTCTTGCCACAAAATAATCACAATGCAGCAAAACAAAACAAACAAAAATCCCAAGAAAAAGTGGACTTTAAAGGTGATTACATATTCATTAGGACTCTTGCTTCTCTCTAACTCAAGTTTTCTGAAATACATTCTAGAGTAGGGAAAGTTACTGGTTTAAGTCTTAAACCAAAGACATTATCTGTCCTAAAAGATGAAATTGCTGGATGTTTATTAGAATCTCGATTTTTTTTATTCATTTAAATTTTAATCCCAAACAAATTCAAGATATCATGAATAGTTGTTCTTAAACATAAAAAAATAAAAATAAAATTCCTGGTTTATAATTGAATAAATTATTTTCTCAGTATATTCTTGTCATGGATTGTGCATTTTCTCTCAAAGATGTTCAGAATTGTTGATTCTAGAGTTTTAAATTTTTAGATTCCAAAAAATCCTCATGTCCTTTTAAAAATGTGTCCACTATTCCAAAGATAGAACATAGTTGAGATTTGCAAATTTTAAAAACAAATGCTCATGCCCTAGCTGATATGGCTAAGTGGTTAGAGCTTTGGCCCACACCAAAGGGTTGAGGATTCTATTCCTGGTCAACCCAGTGAACCATATCTGGATTGCAGGGTCTATCCCCAGTCGGGGTGCATGTGGGAGGCAGCCAATTGATGTCTCTCACATACATGTTTCTTCTCTTCCCTCCTTTCCACTCTCTAAAAATCATTGGAAAGAATATCCTTAGACACCAAGGAAGCATCATCAGAAGCTCTCAATTCCTTTAGTAGGCATTAAAGAACTTAGTCGACCAAAAACTCTTCAAAAGTAGAATGTAAGTCTAGACTTACATATAGCCAAGTTTGAGAAGCAATCAACAAAAGCTGAGCAAACAAGGGCACAGGAAAGTTAAGGGCTTAAAGGAGTGTGGAGGAGGGAAGGGTGTCTGGTGAAGTGCAAATAGACTTGAGGAGATGACTTTGAATTGAGCTTTGAAAGAGAGAGGGGATCATTGTGAATAGAGATAGGATGAGACTTCAGAGCAGCAGATGTAAACTTTTACAGAGATCCACACAAAGGGTGCGAAAAGTAGCAAAGACCAGGAGAGCACTTTGACTGGATGAGGGCTCCACATTCGCTCAACATGTGTGATCCTTTCTCCTCCCAGCAATGCTTGGTCTCCTTTACGGAGTCTGTGTGATTTCTATGGAAACAGATGTCATTGTTGGAGCAAGAGATTCAGACTAAGCCAATAGCACCTTTCATTCCTTTGGTGGCAATGATTGATTTTGGGGTGGGCAGGTGTCCTACACTAGCCCAATTAATGTGAATCTCAGGTCTTAGGAAATAAGGAAGTATGTAACATTGGGAGCTGCTAACACCTCTGGTGACCACAAGGGAGATCAGCTTTAGGATGAAACTGACAACAGGAATGGAAGAGCAGAGAAAATGGAAGGGAATGCAGTCCTTGGTGACAACCCTAAGCCACTGGCTCCTGTGGGCTTTTTGAACTTGTGTGCCAATAAAGTACCATTATCGTTCAAGTCTGTTAGAATTGAGCTTTCCCTTATAACTGAAAATACCCCCCACTAAACCCTTCTAGAATAATTAGTTCCGATAGGCAGGCCTATAGTATGTCTTTGCATCAGCTCCAGAACTTGTTCCCTCACCTATCTCACTGCTTAACAAATACCTGTAAGATGAATGAATGAATCATTACGTCCACTCCCATCACGCTCAAAGAAGTGCTTTTCAATTAAAAAAATTTTTTTTTTCATTTTGAACTCAGACTTTTTTTATATCTGGCACCTGGAAATTTTCCTCCTGTAGTTCACAGTACAGGAACTCAGAAGGGGCAACTTGAGCTTTAGGCTCTAACCTGGTGCATAACCTACTGAGTTCAGTGCTGCTTAAGGTCAGTAGTGCATGAGACAAATTTGCTCCATCAATATAGAGCAGTGGTTCTCAATTAGGATGGTTTTGCAGTATTACCATCGCCACCTCCACTCTCCAACTCTCACCCTGACCTCAGAATACTTGGCAATGAGTGAAAATATTGGTTGTCACAACTTGCGGGGAAAGGAGAGGGGTTACTACTCATATCTATTAGGTAAAGGCCAGGGATGCTGCTAAACATCCTAAAATGCACACCACAACAAAGTAGTGTCTCGCTCAAAATGTGATAAGGTTGAAGAACCCTAATGTAAAATCCCCTTGAACTTCATTAAGAAACAAATATGGGAAAGCCAATATGCATAATGCCCACCTGTCTTTACCCTGGAATTAGTCTTTGATGAGTGTCAAAAGCTTCCAACTCACTTCTTAGTCCTATAACATACACAGCTAAGACAAAAGAATAGTGGACACTGTAGGACAAGAATTTCCAAAGATAACACTGTTATTCTAAGCAACTGAAGTGATTAAAAATATATGTTTTCTGTCCTAACCGGTTTGGTTCAGTGGATAGAGCATCGGCCTGTAGACTCAAAAGTCCCAGGTTTGATTCTGGTCAAGGGCATGTACCTTGGTTGCGGGTACATCCCCAGTAGGAGGTGTTCAGGAGGCAGCTGATCTATGTTTCTCTCTCATAGATGTTTCTAACTCTCTATCCTTCTCCCTTCCTCTCTGTAAAAAATCAATAAAATATATTAATTACGTATATGTATATATGTATATATGTATATATGTATATGTATATGTATATGTATATTTTCTGGACCTGGTTGAAGACTGGCCCTTTGTAGAAATAGCTACGGATTTTACATATAAATGAAAAATAGCTATAAATATTTAAAGTATGGGGCTTTGGAAAATCAGCCAAAGTTAGAACACACTTTCAATGAATTGACTGTAATTGTTCAGAATAAAAGGTGGTTATGCTAGCTAGGTGTTTTAGTTAAAGACATTTTCTTTGCAAGGAACCAACATCCCCTGAGCTGTCTAAATCCAAAAGTGAATATTGAGAGGCTACGTAGAGTTCCACTGAATGCAAGGCAGAATTGACAACCAGGCATTCCTGCTGTGAGAGCCTATTGTACATAATACTTCCCAACTTTCTGTTTAGTGCTTTCACTGTGGTAGCTTGGTATTAGCTTTGGTGGGAGTACTGTGTCTCCCCGAAAATAAGACATCCTCTGAAAATAAGACCTAGCGCATGGAAAGATAAGACATCTCCTGAAAATAAGACCTAGCGCAACTTTGGGAGAAAAAATATAAGACACTGTCTTATTTTTGGGGAAACAGAGTATTTTTATACCATGGGAATCAGCAAACATTAGAAATCAGGTCTCTTTTTCCTTTTCTTTTCATCTTTATTTTTTAGGAGTTGGTTGTGTAAAATGTTAGTTGTTTACATCACTATAACCAGCCCATGAAGAAGTGCCAGTGAAGTTCAAGGGCTTCAACAGCAGAAAAGAATGAACTTCTCCTAGAGGTCGACAATATGGCCCAGCTCCAACTATTTCCGGACTCAGAGTTTCTTCCTTCAAAATTCTACATTTCTGGAAAAGAAAACCCAAATGGCACAGCAGGCACTCCTGCTCCCAGCAGCTGTGCCATGGGGTGGGTAGGTTTATTGGAGGGTGGATTATACTATGGAGCAGTTTCTCAGGCAAG